GCTTGAGCAGTATAGCAAGTGCTTGAGCAGTATAGCAATTGCTTGAGCAGTATAGCAATTGCTTGAGCAGTATAGCAATTGCTTGAGCAGTATAGCAAGTGCTTGAGCAATATAGCAAGTGCTTGAGCAGTATAGCAAGTGCTTGAGCAGTATAGCAAGTGCTTGAGCAGTATAGCAACTGCTTGAGCAGTATAGCAAGTGCTTGAGCAGTATAGCAAGTGCTTGAACAGTATAGCAAGTGCTTGAGAAGTATAGCAAGTGCTTGAGCAGTATAGCAAGTGCTTGAGCAGTATAGCAAGTGCTTGAGCAGTATAGCAATTGCTTGAGCAGTATAGCAAGTGCTTGAGCAGTATAGCAAGTGTTTGAACAGTATAGCAAGTGCTTGAGCAGTATAGCAAGTGCTTGAGCAGTATAGCAAGTGCTTGAGCAGTATAGCAATTGCTTGATCAGTATAGCAAGTGCTTGAGCAGCAGTATAGCAAGTGCTTGAGCAGTATAGCAAGTGCTTGAGCAGTATAGCAATTGCGTGAACCGTATAGCAAGTGCTTGAGCAGTATAGCAAGTGCTTGAGCAGTATAGCAATTGCTTGAGCAGTATAGCAAGTGCTTGAGCAGTATAGCAAGTGCTTGAACAGTATAGCAAGTGCTTGAGAAGTATAGCAAGTGCTTGAGCAGTATAGCAAGTGCTTGAGCAGTATAGCAAGTGCTTGAGCAGTATAGCAATTGCTTGAGCAGTATAGCAAGTGCTTGAGCAGTATAGCAAGTGTTTGAACAGTATAGCAAGTGCTTGAGCAGTATAGCAAGTGCTTGAGCAGTATAGCAAGTGCTTGAGCAGTATAGCAATTGCTTGATCAGTATAGCAAGTGCTTGAGCAGCAGTATAGCAAGTGCTTGAGCAGTATAGCAAGTGCTTGAGCAGTATAGCAATTGCTTGAACCGTATAGCAAGTGCTTGAGCAGTATAGCAATTGCTTGAGCAGTATAGCAATTGCTTGAGCAGTATAGCAAGTGCTTGAGCAGTATAGCAATTGCTTGAGCAGAATAGCAAGTGCTTGAGCAGTATAGCAAGTGCTTGAGCAGTATAGCAAGTGCTTGAGCAATATAGCAAGTGCTTGAGCAGTATAGCAAGTGCTTGAACAGTATAGCAAGTGCTTGAGAAGTATAGCAAGTGCTTGAGCAGTATAGCAAGTGCTTGAGCAGTATAGCAAGTGCTTGAGCAGTATAGCAATTGCTTGAGCAGTATAGCAAGTGCTTGAGCAGTATAGCAAGTGCTTGAACAGTATAGCAAGTGCTTGAGCAGTATAGCAATTGCTTGAGCAGTATAGCAAGTGCTTGAGCAGTATAGCAATTGCTTGATCAGTATAGCAAGTGCTTGAGCAGCAGTATAGCAAGTGCTTGAGCAGTATAGCAAGTGCTTGAGCAGTATAGCAATTGCTTGAACAGTATAGCAAGTGCTTGAGCAGTATAGCAAGTGCTTGAGCAGTATAGCAATTGCTTGAGCAGTATAGCAATTGCTTGAGCAGTATAGCAAGTGCTTGAGCAGTATAGCAATTGCTTGAGCAGTATAGCAAGTGCTTGAGCAGTATAGCAAGTGCTTGAGCAGTATAGCAAGTGCTTGAGCAATATAGCAAGTGCTTGAGCAGTATAGCAATTGCTTGAGCAGTATAGCAAGTGCTTGAGCAATATAGCAAGTGATTGAGCAGTATAGCAAGTTCTTGAACAGTACAGCAAGTGCTTGAGCAATATAGCAAGTGATTGAGCAGTATAGCAAGTGCTTGAGCAATATAGCAAGTGATTGAGCAGTATAGCAAGTTCTTGAACAGTATAGCAAGTGCTTGAGCAATATAGCAAGTTCTTGAACAGTATAGCAAGTGCTTGAGCAATATAGCAAGTGATTGAGCAGTATAGCAAGTGCTTGAGCAATATAGCAAGTGATTGAGCAGTATAGCAAGTTCTTGAACAGTATAGCAAGTGCTTGAGCAATATAGCAAGTGCTTGAGCAGTATAGCAATTGCTTGAGCAGTATAGCAAGTGCTTGAGCAGTATAGCAAGTGCTTGAGCAATATAGCAAGTGATTGAGCAGTATAGCAAGTTCTTGAGCAGTATAGCAAGTGCTTGAGCAATATAGCAAGTGATTGAGCAGTATAGCAAGTGCTTGACCAATATAGCAAGTGATTGAGCAGTATAGCAAGTTCTTGAACAGTATAGCAAGTGCTTGAGCAGTATAGCAATTGCTTGAGCAGTATAGCAAGTGCTTGAGCAGTATAGCAAGTACTTGAGCAGTATAGCAAGTGCTTGAGCAGTATAGCAATTGCTTGAGCAGTATAGCAAGTGCTTGAGCAGTATAGCAAGTGCTTGAGCAGTATAGCAAGTGCTTGACCAGTATAGCAAGTATTTGAGCAGTATAGCAAGTGCTTGAGCAGTATAGCAATTGCTTGAGCAGTATAGCAAGTGCTTGAACAGTATAGCAATTGCTTGAGCAATATAGCAAGTGCTTGAGCAGTATAGCAAGTGCTTGAACAGTATAGCAAGTGCTTGAGAAGTATAGCAAGTGCTTGATCAGTATAGCAAGTGCTTGAGCAGTATAGCAAGTGCTTGAGCAGTATAGCAATTGCTTGAGCAGTATAGCAAGTGCTTGAGCAGTATAGCAAGTGCTTGAACAGTATAGCAAGTGCTTGAGCAGTATAGCAAGTGCTTGAGCAGTATAGCAAGTGCTTGAGCAGTATAGCAATTGCTTGATCAGTATAGCAAGTGCTTGAGCAGCAGTATAGCAAGTGCTTGAGCAGTATAGCAAGTGCTTGAGCAGTATAGCAATTGCTTGAACAGTATAGCAAGTGCTTGAGCAGTATAGCAAGTGCTTGAGCAGTATAGCAATTGCTTGAGCAGTATAGCAATTGCTTGAGCAGTATAGCAAGTGCTTGAGCAGTATAGCAATTGCTTGAGCAGCATAGCAAGTGCTTTAGCAGTATAGCAAGTGCTTGAGCAGTATAGCAAGTGCTTGAGCAATATAGCAAGTGCTTGAGCTGTATAGCAATTGCTTGAGCAGTATAGCAAGTGCTTGAGCAGTATAGCAAGTGCTTGAGCAATATAGCAAGTGCTTGAGCAATATAGCAAGTGATTGAGCAGTATAGCAAGTTCTTGAACAGTATAGCAAGTGCTTGAGCAGTATAGCAATTGCTTGAGCAGTATAGCAAGTGCTTGAGCAGTATAGCAAGTGCTTGAGCAATATAGCAAGTGCTTGAGCTGTATAGCAATTGCTTGAGCAGTATAGCAAGTGCTTGAGCAGTATAGCAAGTGCTTGAGCAATATAGCAAGTGCTTGAGCAATATAGCAAGTGATTGAGCAGTATAGCAAGTTCTTGAACAGTATAGCAAGTGCTTGAGCAGTATAGCAATTGCTTGAGCAGTATAGCAAGTGCTTGAGCAGTATAGCAAGTACTTGAGCAGTATAGCAAGTGCTTGAGCAGTATAGCAATTGCTTGAGCAGTATAGCAAGTGCTTGAGCAGTATAGCAAGTGCTTGAGCAGTATAGCAAGTGCTTGAGCAGTATAGCAAGTACTTGAGCAGTATAGCAAGTGCTTGAGCAGTATAGCAATTGCTTGAGCAGTAGAGCAAGTGCTTGAACAGTATAGCAAGTGCTTGAACAGTATAGCAAGTGCTTGAGCAGTATAGCAACTTCTTGAGCAGTATAGCAATTGCTTGAGCAGTATAGCAAGTGCTTGAGCAGTATAGCAAGTGCTTGAGCAGTATAGCAAGTACTTGAGCAGTATAGCAAGTGCTTGAGCAGTATAATAATTGCTTGAGCAGTATAGCAAGTGCTTGAACAGTATAGCAAGTGCTTGAGCAGTATAGCAAGTTCTTGAGCAGTATATCAATTGCTTGAGCAGTATAGCAAGTGCTTGAGCAGTATAGCAATTGCTTGAGCAGTATAGCAAGCGCTTGAGCAATATAGCAAGTGCTTGAGCAGTATAGCAAGTGCTTGAGCAGTATAGCAAGTGCTTGAACAGTATAGCAAGTGCTTGAACAGTATAGCAAGTGCTTGAGCAGTATAGCAAGTGCTTGAGCAGTATAACAAGTGCTTGGGCAGTATGGCAAGTGCTTGAGCAGTATAGCAAGTGCTTGAGCAGTATAGCTAGCACTTGAAAAGTAGAGAAATTACTTAAAGACGTTCCGAAGGCTATCATCTCCTTCACACATCTGCACTGTTGTTAATCGTGCAGTTTCTGACGTTTCCCGATTCCCGATTTTATCTAGGTTCGAAATCTGGCTTGGTAAATAAACATTCAGATGTACTTATACCGTTTGTTTCCATGTTTATATGTCAATGTTTATCAATAAGGAATAATTGTGTCGTTTGCTAATATTCGTTACGTAAAGTTTGGTTCATTACTGATTCTTTTTTAACCAAAATTACATTTATTGATGGGAAATACATTTTCTTTTTTTATTTCGTTGTTTGTTTTCGTTTTCTGTGCTGGAAACTAACCTGGATTCTATTTTCGTATTGCCTGCAATAGCAAAGAAGAGACACACTTTGTAGAATGAGTTTTTATTGGGACAACGTTTCGCCCTGAGTCGAGTGTTTATCAGCTAACGATAAGGCTTCTACACTGAGAGAAATGTTGCTCCATTAAGAAGTTTGTGTTCCTGCAGTGTGTGACCTACCTGCTGAAGGGTCAGTACTGACCACAGTGTGACTGAGGCGGACGCAAGTGACACCATAAGAGATGGACCAATACACTGCATATAGGGCAATAACACCGTACTTGGTGTGTTCATTACACACACACACACACACACACATACACACACCACAACTAGAACACACACCAACTAAAATATGCACAAACTAGAGACGAAACTAGTACTGGAAAAAATGAGGACGAAGAGAACTCTGGCGAAAGACAAGAACACACGAAAATACGATTAACAAAAGCCATGGACAAACAGTATCGACATAAACAGCAAAAGCAGACAAAAGCCGAATATCGGAGTCGAGTTTTACCGAATGAAAATGTAACGTCGTTGATGTCGGCTCCCTGTACTTCAACGCTGACTTGAAAGACGTCTTGAAATTCTGCATAAATCTCGCCAGCGTAAGACTGTTTCTTGAAGGTTAAACTGGGCTTTACAAGGCCACCGGTTGTTGTCCCGGTAGTGCTGGTTGTTGTAGGTACAGAGGGGCATGCTGTTGTTGTTGCTGCATCTGTGGGGCATACGGGACAGGCTGTGGTAGCTTCAGTGGGGTAGACTGTGGTAGTTATTTCATCTGTGGGGCATACAGGGCAGGTTGTAGCAGCGTCGGTCGGGCATGGAATGGTCTCAGTTGTAGAGCATACGGGGCAAGGTGAAGTAGTTGCAGAACCTGTGATGTTGAATAGTCATCCTGTCTGTTATGCAGACTTGTCAGTGTTACACAACCCCTTTATTAGGTCAGGGTAACGGGTGATTATATATATATATATATATATATATATATATATATATATATATATATATATATATATATATATATATATATATATATATATATATATATATATATTATATATATATATATATATATATATATATATATATATATATATATATATATATATATATATATATATATATATATATATATATATATATATATATATATATATATGCAAAACAACCACTCTGAAAGAATAGAGAAATTCCAAGCGCTTTCGTGACTACTCACATTATCAAGGAACTATGATAATGTGAGTAGTCACGAAAGCGCTTGGAATTTCTCTATTCTTTCAGAGTGGTTGTTTTGCATATTCTGAAATCACCTGTTTACTGTGATCTTATTGCATATATATATATATATATATATATATATATATATATATATATATATATATATATATATATATATATATATATATATATATATATTAACACACCGGCCGTCTCCCACCAAGGCAGGGTGGGCCGAAAAATAAAAACTTTCATCATCATTCACTCCATCACTGTCTTGCCAGAGGCATGCTTACACTACAGTTATAAAACTGCAACATTAACACCCCTCTTTCAGAGTTCCGGCACTGTACTTCCCATCTCCAGGACTCAAGTCCGGCCTGCCGGTTTCCCTGAATCCCTTCAAATGCTACCTTGCTTACACTCCAACAGCACGTCAAGTCCTAAAAACCATTTGTCTCCATTCGCTCCTGTTTAACACGCTCACGCACGCTTACTGGAAGTCCAAGCCCCTCACACACAAAACCTCCTTGACCCCCTACCTCCAACCTTTCCTAGGCCGACCCCTACCCCGCCTTCGCTCCACTACAGATTTATACATTCTCTAGGTCATTCTATTTCCTTTCATTCTCTCTACATGTCCGAACCACCTCAACAACCCATCCTCAACCCTTTAGATAACAGTTTTGGTAATCCCGCACCTCCTCCTAATTTCCAAACTACGAATTCTCTGCATTGCCCTCAGACATGACGTCTCTACTGCCTCCAGCCTTCTCCTTGTTGCAACATTCCCCACCTATGTTTCACACCCATATAAGAGCGTTGGTATAACTATTCTCTCATACATTCCCCTCTTTGCTTCCATTGACAAAGTTCTTTGTCTCAACAGACTACTAAGTGCACCACTCACTTTTTTTTCCCCTCGTCAGTTCTATGATTCACCTCATCCTTCATAGACCCATCCGCTGACACGTCCACGTGTGTGTGTCTTGCCGAATACGTAAAACTTGCAATTTTGGCTTAAATAGCAACGCTGGTGTATCTGAATCAAATTTCTATATATTTTAGATCAATTAGCTAATTTTAGGGACTGATTACCTCATCTTTAGAATATACGTTTCCTGTTTTTCATTCATGTCCTTGAATTTGTACTGATACAGCTACTGGCGGGCGAAACGTCTACAATAAAGATACCCAGATGTTGTACATGTATTTAATTTTCACTCAATTTTAGGGAAATTTTTTTGAAAACGAAATATAGCATTGATGGTTTAAATCTGTGAATGCATTATCCGATCGGCATCAAACCTTCAAAGCGGAAGTATCTTACCTAGAGGAAGCTTTGAATTGTTATTGGATTCTGACCGGGCTAATTTACCAAATTTTACTTCCATTCATCTGTTTAGCTTATAGGCCTAATCAAATTGCAATTTCATGTTTTTTATTTTTTGTCCTTGTAGGATTCTAGACAATTTGAAAAAAAAAATAATTGACAACAGAAAACTGAGAAATGTTAAACATTCGTGTTTTGATGGTATTTTTAAGTATCAGAAATTTATTGAGCCTTTTTTGTATCTTATGTAGGTATCCCTAAGGAGGATACTTGGAGTATACCTGGAGGGTGTTCCGGGGGTCAACACCTCCCGCTACCCTGTCCATGACTAGGCTTCGCTAAAGTAGAGACCTGTTCTTTCTCGTCCTCCTAGGTTTCAGTTTATACCTGGAGAATGCCTCATTCGATCGACTTCAGATTTGTACAGCGGATGTAGCTATTAACATCTACAGCTGCCTTCTTTACAAGTGTTTATAGAACCCAGATTTTTTGTGCATGATAATCTGGGAAAGCCTCTTCTGGTTGACTATTTTTAAAAGTGGTTTATTCTACTTAGCAGATAGTTAAGATTGGCAACTTTCCAATTATATTTTGAGAATGGGATATGGGGAGACACCTTTCCCGGATCTACTGAGATAGAGAGGACGACGGGTGAAAAAGATTTCTACCTATAAAACCCGTGTAGTCGAAAGTGTGGAGGAATCTGTATCACTGAGTTGGTTTTGTGGATTGGCTGGGAGTAGGCTATGTAAACAAAGAGTGGGCAAGAGATGGAAGTGGGCAAGAGATGGAAGTGAGCAAGAGATGGAAGTGGGCAAGAGATGGAAGTGGGCAACAGATGGAAGTGGGCAAGAGATGGAAGTGGGCAGGAGATTCCCTTAAGCAGGTGAGTAAAACAATGCTACGCTGGTGGGTAGCGCTGGTATGTTGTCACTATCCATGTATCTGAGGCTGTGAGTACAGGAGAGTACCTGCAGTGGTGGAGCAAGGTGGGCAGGTGTACACAGTGGTTAACCAGGTGGAAAGGGTGGTACAGGTGGGACACTCGGAGGTGACAGCTGGTTCTGTAGTGGGGCATGGTGCACAGGTGGTGACCTCAGTGGTAGGGCATGGTTGACAGGTGGTGATTTCAGTGGTAATGCATGGTTGAGAGGTGGTGGTTTCAGTGGTAGGGCATGGTTCACAGGTGATGATTTCAGTGGTAGGGCATGGCTGAGAGGTGGTGGTTTCAGTGGTAGGGCATGGTTCACAGGTGGTGGCCTCAGTGGGCACCGTCGTGGGATACACACATGGGTCAGTAGGGCATGGGGTACACGTGCCTTCTGTTGTTATGGTGGGGCAGGTACACTCTGGGCAGGTAACTTCAGTTGTGGAGTAGGTGGTGGTGGGCAGCGGGGGTAGCATTACCCTCAGAACACTGGTACTAACTTCCAGAGTCTCATCTCTTGCCTAGGATATCCCACGAAGTCCCCCGAAGTCCCACGAAGATTTGGTCAAGCACGTCACACGTCAGCCCCAAAACACAACAAAAAGATGGGAATAAGACAGCAGAACAGTGGATGGAACAATTCACAAGCCACATGTCAGTACCAGAACAAATAATAACAGTGAAAATAACAGCCACTGTGTAAAGGACAAAGTATTGAGGAATGTTATAACATTCATTAATGCTACGACGAATGTTGAAGGTTGTATCTCACCCAAAGATTCAGATGAAGAAGATATTTAACACTAGCTGTGATGAGGAAGATATTTAACACTAGCTGTGATGAGGAAGATATTTAACACTAGCTGTGATGAGGAAGATACCACTAGCTGTGATGAAGATATCACTAGCTGTGATGAGGAAGATACTTAACACTGTGATGAGGAAGATACTTAACACTGTGATGAGGAAGATACTTAACACTGTGATGAGGAAGATACTTAACACTGTGATGAGGAAGATACTTAACACTGTGATGAGGAAGATACTTAACACTGTGATGAGGAAGATACTTAACACTGTGATGAGGAAGATACTTAACACTGTGATGAGGAAGATACTTAACACTGTGATGAGGAAGATACTTAACACTGTGATGAGGAAGATACTTAACACTGTGATGAGGAAGATACTTAACACTGTGATGAGGAAGATACTTAACACTGTGATGAGGAAGATACTTAACACTGTGATGAGGAAGATACTTAACACTGTGATGAGGAAGATACTTAACACTGTGATGAGGAAGATACTTAACACTGTGATGAGGAAGATACTTAACACTGTGATGAGGAAGATACTTAACACTGTGATGAGGAAGATACTTAACACTGTGATGAGGAAGATACTTGACACTGTGATGAGGAAGATACTTAACACTGTGATGAGGAAGATACTTAACACTGTGATGAGGAAGATACTTAACACTGTGATGAGGAAGACACTTAACACTGTGATGAGGAAGACACTAAACACTGTGATGAGGAAGATACTTAACACTGTGATGAGGAAGATACTTAACACTGTGATGAGGAAGATACTTAACACTGTGATGAGGAAGATACTTAACACTGTGATGAGGAAGACACTAAACACTGTGATGAGGAAGATAGCTCTGACTAGCTTCAACAAAAAATCTAATTAAAAAAGAAAGTCTTCAGCATGAATGAGAATAAGATTTTCATATTAGCTTTGGTAGAGACAATATTGAAGAAAGGTTCACTGAATGACTCCTTTTTGTTTATATAATTTAACATATTTTAGGCTAAAAAACAACTGTTTACATACATGGAATTAACAGCGAAAGCCCCAAATTGTGAATAAATTTACATAAGCATAGCGAACAAGACTTTAGATAACGAAAGAGAATTGTTATATTTTGCACCAGACTAGCTAGTCGATCTGGCCTGGCTTTAATAGATTAGTGTGTTACGAAATCGTAATAACACTATTGCCTTGAGTTCAAGTCCCATCCGTTTCTTGATTTATAGATCAGTGTTGTATAAGGCAGTTTGAACCTGCCCAATTTGTTTTTGGATTCGGGTTGGTGTTACTTAGGTGAAATAATGTGTTTCCTGATGCTCAAATTTGTTTTCTTGGTGTTGCGGTAATGAATTTATACTATATATGCATTTCATAGGTATATATTTATAGGTATGTTGCAGTTCAGAGGGTCATTTGATTTGCGATGTCTATGCACTTCTACCAAGACAGGTATTGACTGAATGATGATAAGTGTTTCGTTTTTTTGAGTCTGTCTTGGTGGGAGATAGCTGGTGAGGGGAAAAAATAATCTATCATTCTTAGTTTTTTTGTTTGTTGCTCTGTGTGGGATAGATTATCCTGAGAGATAATAATTTCCAAACAGTAGTAACTCCAGCTCTACTGGAAGGAAGACTCTGAAGCTTATGCAGTTACTTTTAGTTACTTCAGTTACTTTTAGTTACTTTAGTTCTGCTGTTTAATTTTATTTCTGCAGTTACTTGAAGTGGAATGTCTGACGATATCCTCATTACCCTACTGAAGTGTCCCAGCTCAGGCTGACACTGCTAAAGTGTCCCAGCTCAGGCTGACACTGCTGACGTGTCCCAGCTCAGGCTGACACTCCTGAAGTGTCCCAGCTCAGGCTGACACTACTGAAGCCTCCCAGTTCAAACTGGCAGATTTCATTACTCGTAGTAACAAACCCATGCTGTGTAATGCAGTGTGACAGGAAAACATAGCTAGCTTCAGTTCCCACTGTGTATCATATAGGAGTAGGCTAGCAGCACGTTTCAACCACTTTTTTAATACCAAAAAAAAAAAAAAAACTCGTGTAGGCTTCTCTAACTTGCGTCTCCAGGATTTTTATCCAACACTGAACACACCACATCAGATTTCACACAAATAACCCCTTGTCACTCGTAGGATCTAAGTCCCCTTAAAAAAACCACGGTACGGATGGTGTTAGGACCCATTGCAAGCGAATCTTAAAACTCCAGGCCAATGCGTTAGCCGTTGGGACACTTGGTTAAAATAAGATTCATCCAGCTAGGTAAATATATACACCATAGGAAGGTCAACATGGGCCTCTTAAATTTACAAGTTACGAAAAGTTTGAACCTGCTCGAATATAACAATTTCTTAAGGTAAACGAGTTTTTAAACTAGGTCTCGTTATGTTACTAACCCTGCCAAAATAAGGTCTTGCGGGAAATATTGCTAGAAGCTGTGCATAAAGTCGTGGCAACTAAGAAACAGAACTTAGCAAAACATCCAACAGAAATTCTAGCACCAGATGATGGACTTTATAGTGAAAGGTCTAATGGACCCCCCCCCTAAAAATTATGGAGAACCAATCATTATACTTGTTACATTTAGCATACACAGATAATCACACAATTATATACACAGATTCTAAGGGGCGAATGATGATAAGTATCAGAAAGACATAGAGCCAAGACATCTTACTTATTCCCACTGGAGAAGCTGTGCAACGTAGCCTCTGATACTGTTGTTAATCTTACAGATTGATATGAAAAGATTGCACAGTGAATCCACAAAGACCTTTGCCGAATTATAACAAAAATCACCAATATAGTAAAAGGTATGGAAATGCAATTTTAAAGTTCCCAGATGAAGCGGGTGTGATGTCCCCGTTTAATGGCCCAAATGCTCCCCTGATATCACTCCTTTATGAAGGATTATGTCTTCCAGATCTTCCAGATACCAGCAGCCGACATTTAAAAAATTCCGTACTGGAATAAGTGATATCGGAAGACTTAGGTCATTGCAGCGATTAGCTGTGTTAACGACCACTAGAGGAGCAAATTTTTAATTTACATAGATCAGACAAAAAGCTGTGTGTAAACACTGGTAATTTAATTATCATATGGTAAAAACTGCATTTTCTTGTCTGTTACCAATCTGTTGTAAAATTATAGTTGAAAGTAGTCATGGGAAATCATTATATATATACAGAATATACATACGTATATATGCAAAACATTATCAAGGAACTATGAAAGTAAAGCATCCAAGGAAGCTATATAAGGGGTCTGGCCAGCACCTCACTATCAGATCCCACAACGGTTAAACACCTGACGCGCGGCGACCCAACTTGGATAGGTCCTTTGCACAACTCACCCACAAACTATTCTACCCAAGAAAATTTAAAAATTATTATTTGTCCAGTGTATTATTAAATTCTTCCCAAATTCTATTAATTATAAATGGATCTAATTTATATAAACCAAAGGAAATATTCATATTATTGTCAAAACTGCTTTTTATGAAACAAGATTCAATTATATTCCTGTCGACCATGGACTTGCTTGATACTACTTTCTCAACTTTTTGAAAATCAATTGGATGATTAAAATCTCTTACATGAATAAATAGAGCATTGGAATCTTGTCCAGTTCTAATGCTATATTTATGTTGTTTTAATCTTAGTTCGAGATTTTTACCAGTTTGACCGTAATAAACTTTATCGCAAATTTTACAAGGAATCTTATAGACACATCCATCAGCATTTTGGGGGGAATTCTTTATCAAAAGTTTTTTTACTGTATCAAGATTTTTGAATACAACTTTAATATTAAAAGTCTTAAGAAGAGAAGGCATATCAACCAAGTTTTCATGGTAAGGGAGAACCAACATATTTTTAGTTGAATAAGGCTGGTTGTCCCTTTTTGGATTGTAAAAAGTATTTCTAGCAACTTTAAAAGATTTATCAATTACATTTCTTGGGTATTTTAAATCATTACCTATTTCATAAATTTTGGATATTTTCCTCATATACATACCCGGGAAATACCCGACTGACACAGCTTAAAGGTTATCTCCCAACAGAAGCAACTAGCAGTACCCAACATAAAAAAAATCATTCTACTTGTGTTGTTACAGCTTATGGCCAATCAGACGTAATTTACCTGGTATAACTAATCAGAAAATCATAATTACCTTATTTATCCAATCAGAAATCAAAGGCTTATCCGATTCGACTAATCAGAGGGTGTCATCTCTTCTTTTTTAACCAATCATATTCACATTTTATTTGGTTTAACCAATTAGAAAGCTAATTTTATCTGTTTTAACTAATCATTCAATAGTAGCTGCTGTAGTAGTAGTAGTAGTAGTAGTAGTAGTAGTAATAGTAGTAATAGTAGTAGTAGCTGGCTTGTATGCAATCCTGTGAGTATATAAACTGAGAAATACAACGTCTCGCTGTATACAAATACACAGCGATGCACACGTCTCGGTGTACGAGTGTATACAATGAGAGATTATACATTTCGATTCATATACATCATTGTATACATTCCTCATGTTTTAATTACAGAGTGAAGATTTAATATTAATGTATATACACATTGTGATTACTATTAGTATGATGATGATTATTATTATTTTTAACAATAAAACATTAATTATGTAAATTATCAATAATTTAATGTCAACACGTATATGTCGTGCCGAATAGGTAAAACTTACCATTTTGGCTTAAATAGCAATGCTTTTCTTGCCGAATAAGGTAAGCAAAAATTTGTGTATGCAATAATTTCGCAAAAATCATTCTGAACCTAACGAAAAATATATATTTCATTGTGTTTGTTTATTTTTAAATTATTGTAAACTTATCTAAATTATAGTTAGTTGGCTTAGGCTTGTTATAATAAGGTTAGCTAAGTTTTCTAATGTTCTTTTGGTACAAATTATTAAATTTTACATTAACATATGTGAAAAAGATATATCTTTAAACGTATAAGAGAAATTTTAGATAGGACTTAATTTTAAATTAGCTCTTGCTAATTGATCAATTTTACCTATTCGGCACGACATATATATATATATATAAATATATATTATATATATATATATATATATATATATATATATATATATATATATATATATATATATATATATTATATATTATATATATATATATATATATATATATATATATATATATATATAATTGATTGATTGTTGGTTTTTTGAGAAGATAAATGCTCTGGATAATGAGTAAAAATTTTGCAATGTCTTGCACCTAGAAGGGTCAACATCAGCTTAATATTCACTACAGTTCTAGACTGATAACAAGATAACTTAGGAAAGATAACTTACCGTAATGAAGAAGTCGATCGACAGGTTTATGAGAATTTCTTCGTCCAGTTCTCTTGTGAGAGTGACGTTCCCTGTGCTACTATCGATTTTGAAATAGTTCATCCCCACACCTGAATAGTGACAACTTAGATTTAGAATTCACATAGATTTAGAATTTACGTAGATTTAACATTAGCATGGACTTAGACTCAGCCTTCGCATAGAATTAACATTAATAGTGATATGAAGAATCACTAGGGTAATTGTTGATGGTGAAGAGCTCTTGATCCAAGGGATGGTAGGTGCCCTTCACTTACTGGAGTCAGATATGATTGCCTCCCATTTCCCCGACTACTACTACTGCTGCTACTACTACTACTACTAGTTTTACTACTACTGCTAGTTCTACTACTACCGCTATTACTACTACCACTACTAATACTACCACCACCACTACTATTACTACCACTGCTACTACTTCTACTACTAAACAATAATCATGATGGTCAGGATACAAACATGTGTATTTGTTGTGTGTGTGTGTGTGTGTGTGTGTGTGTGTGTGTGTGTGTGTGTGTGTGTGTGTGTGTGTGTGTGTGTGTGTGTGTGTGTGTGTGTGTGTATGTATGTATGTATGTGTGTGTGTGTGTGTGTGTGTGTGTGTGTGTGTGTGTGTGTGTACTCACCTATTTGTACTCACCTATTTGTGGTTGCAGGGGTCGAGTCATAGCTCCTGGCCCCGCCTCTTCACTGATTGCTACTAGGTTCTCTCTCTCCCTGCTCCATGAGCTCTATCATACCTCGCCTTAAAACTATGTATGGTTCCCGCCGCCACTACGTCACTTTCTAGGCTATTCCACGGCCTGACTACTCTATGACTGAAGAAATACTTCCTAACATCCCTTTGATTCATCTGAGTCTTCAACTTCCAATTGTGACCTCTTGTGTCTGTGTCCCTTCTCTGGAACATCCCGTCTTTGTCCACCTTGTCTATTCCGCGCAGTATTTTATATGTCGTTATCATGTCTCCCCTGACCCTCCTGTCCTCCAGTGTCGTCAGGCCGATTTCCCTCAACCTTTCTTCGTAGGACAATCCCCGTAGCTCTGGGACTAGTCTTGTTGCAAACCTTTGCACTTTCTCTAATTTCTTGACGTGCTTGACTATGTGTGGATTCCAAACTGGTGCTGCATACTCCAGTATGGGCCTGATGTAAATGGTATACAGAGTCTTAAACGAATCCTTACTGAGGTATCGGAACGCTATCCGTAGGTTTGCCTGGCGTGTGTGTGTGTGTGTGTGTGTGTATGTGTGTGTGTACTCACCTAATTGTGGTTGCAGGGGTCGATTCATAGCTTATGGTCCTGTGTGTGTGTGTGTGTGTGTGTGTGTGTGTGTGCGAGGGCGCGTATGTAAACAAACCTTCAGGATCAGCGTCTATCATGGAGTATGTGATGGGAGACTTTATCTCCGTATCGCCGTCTGTAGCATACACAGCACCCGGCTGTATCTCCAGCGGTTCATCTGAGGGCTGAAAACACTTTCTTAATCCTCTTTCTAACACTACACACTGATTGTATTTTTCACTATACGTTTCACTGACACAGCTAGTTAAATTTATGTGCAGATATGACGGTATTAGTACAATGAACACTGCTTAAAAAAACCATACCACGGGTGGGGTTTGAACCCGCGGTAAGAGAGTCTCAAAACTCCAGACCGTCGCGTTAACCACTTAATATTTTATACATTATACTCCTTATTTACCACGTATTTATCAGCTCATGAGAAGAAAAGTGAGAGCTTATAGCCAGGAGTGGTAAAAGACTCACCAAAGTGGAGGTGATTTCAATGTAATAATAGTTGTAGGTGAAGATAGGTGGCTCGTCAGGCATATCTTGAACTGTTATGGTGATGCTGGATGGCTGTGATGACAAGACTGGGCTGCCCTTGTCCTGGAGTCAGATCAATGGTTAACTCAGTAAGAAAGCCTAAATACCACGTAAGACATGTGCAATTCCTGGAAATCTGTATTAATAAAGATTTCCAGGTATTGTACAAGTCTCTTATTCATCAACTTATTGATGAATGATGTAGGAGGGTGGCAGACAGCAACCATCCATAGAAGGTACTATAAAATGCAATCATATGTATTTAGGGCAAACACAGAATCAACATTCCTTAAATAATTAACAGACTTACATATATACTAAACCTTACTTGACCTCATCTAGATAACAAACTGTCTAAAGAAACTGATAAGTCTTAACTATATTACTGATATCATAGTTTAATTGTTCGATCATGAGATTTTAATGCTATGACACCACAAGTGATTGTTTACCTTTCTACTACACTTTTTTTGCCTATATTGTTCATACTTCAGACAGCTTAATATGCTCTAAAGTAACAATGTAACTAAGATCATTTAAATGATCAAGTAACAATAACATTCTAAAGTTCAGATTAGTTATTATATCCATTAGAAGATCGTGTCTGCTTTATCATCAAACAAGGAGCAAACTGGACACTTTCTGACGGTATATAAATACTGTTAATACTGACGTATTGTGGGAAGAAAAAGGCATTATACCATGACTGGAACAATACTTAAATAACTCGCGCATAGGAGAATCTTATAACGACGTTTCGCTCCGACTTGGACTAATGTTTCACTCGTTAATGGTCCAAGACGGACCGAAACGTCGTCATAAGCACAGTGGGTTTTAAGTACTGGCAGAGAACATTCGTAGTTCATTTACAAATAGGGAAAAAAGGGGAACAGGAGAAAATGCAAGGTAATCGAGGTAATCAAGTTTGATCTAAAGGTAATCGAGGTAATCAAGTTTGATCTAAAGGTAATCGAGGTAATCAAGTTTGATCTAAAGGTAATCGAGGTAATCAAGTTTGATCTAAAGGTAATCGAGGTAATCAAATTTGATCTAAAGGTAATCGAGGTAATCAAGTTTGATCTGAAGGTAATCGAGGTAATCAAGTTTGATCTTCAAGTAATCAAGGTAATCAAGTTTGATCTAAAGGTAATCGAGGTAATCAAGTTTGATCTAAAGGTAATCGAGGTAATCAAGTTTGATCTAAAGGTAATCGAGGTAATCAAGTTTGATCTAAAAGTAATCGAGGTAATCAAGTTTGATCTAAAAGTAATCGAGGTAATCAAGTTTGATCTAAAGGTATCGAGGTAATCAAGTTTGATCTAAAGGTAATCGAGGTAATCAAGTTTGATCTAAAGGTAATCGAGGTAATCAAGTTTGATCTAAAAGTAATCGATGTAATCAAGTTTGATCTAAAGGTAATCGAGGTAATCAAGTTTGATCTAAAAGTAATCGAGGTAATCAAGTTTGATCTAAAAGTAATCGAGGTAATCAAGTTTGATCTAAAAGTAATCGAGGTAATCAAGTTTGATCTAAAAGTAATCGAGGTAATCAAGTTTGATCTAAAGGTAATCGAGGTAATCAAGTTTGATCTAAAAGTAATCGAGGTAATCAAGTTTGATCTAAAAGTAATCGAGGTAATCAAGTTTGATCTAAAAGTAATCGAGGTAATCAAGTTTGATTTAAAGGTAATCGAGGTAATCAAGTTTGATCTAAAAGTAATCGAGGTAATCAAGTTTGATCTAAAAGTAATCGAGGTAATCAAGTTTGATCTAAAAGTAATCGAGGTAATCAAGTTTGATCTAAAAGTAATCGAGGTAATCAAGTTTGATCTAAAGGTAATCTAGGTAATCAAGTTTGATCTATAAGTAATCGAGGTAATCAAGTTTGATCTAAAAGTAATCGAGGTAATCAAGTTTGATCTAAAAGTAATCGAGGTAATCAAGTTTGATCTAAAGGTAATCGAGGTAATCAAGTTTGATCTAAAAGTAATCGAGGTAATCAAGTTTGATCTAAAGGTAATCGAGGTAATCAAGTTTGATCTAAAGGTAATCGAGGTAATCAAGTTTGATCTAAAAGTAATCGAGGTAATCAAGTTTGATCTAAAGGTAATCGAGGTAATCAAATTTGATCTAAAGGTAATCGAGGTAATCAAGTTTGATCTAAAAGTAATCGATGTAGTCAAGTTTGATCTAAAGGTAATCGAGGTAATCAAGTTTTATCTAAAAGTAATCGAGGTAATTAATTTTGATCTAAAAGTAATCGATGTAATCAAGTTTGATCTAAAGGTAATCGAGGTAATCAAGTTTGATCTAAAAGTATTCGAGGTAATCAAGTTTGATCTAAAAGTATTCGAGGTAATCAAGTTTGATCTAAAGGTAATCGAGGTAATCAAGCTTGATCTAAAGGAGGAAATGGTAACTCCAGTTCCCATGGATCAAGTCACATAGAGAAAAATATAATTATGGCTTAAGATCACTACTTGATCTGCATTGAAATCACCACTTTTCCCCCGTCTCTCTCCATGTCACGTTCATGATCATAGCATCATGCTCATGAGCGTAACACCATGTTCATGATAACAGACACAAGTGTAGAGCAAGCTTTAATTGTGACAACGTTTCGCTCACCGTAGAGACTCATGAAGTCAACGATAAAGTTCTAAGTAGAAGGAAACATTGCCTCGCCAAAACTCGTTCTGAAACTTTTTTTTTTCTTAAATATAATCAGCTCTGCAATATTTGGCTATTGTTTTTGTCCTAATTTATTTTGTTTCTGTTTTTGTCCTAGTTTTATTTGGTTTCTGTTTTTGTCCTAGTTTTATTTGGTTTCTGTTTTGTCCTTTTATTTGGTTTCTGTTTTTGTCTATTTTATTTGGTTTCTGTTTTTGTCCTAATTTTATTTGGTTTCTGTTTTTGTCCTAGTTTTATTTGGTTTCTGTTTTTGTCCTAGTTTTATTTGGTTTCTGTTTTTGTCCTATTTTATTTGGTTTCTGTTTTTGTCCTAGTTTTATTGGTTTGTTTTTGTCCTAATTTTATTTGGTTTCTGTTTTTGTCCTAGTTTTACTTTGCTATTGTTTTTGTCCTAGTTATATTTTGCTATTGTTTTGTCCTAGTTATATTTTGCTATTGTTTTTGTCCTAGTTATAATTTGCTATTGTTTTGTCCTAGTTATATTTTGCTATTGTTTTGTCCTAGTTATATTTTGCTATTGTTTTTGTCCTAGTTATATTTTGCTATTGTTTTGTCCTAGTTATATTTTGCTATTGTTTTGTCCTAGTTATATTTTGCTATTGTTTTTGTCCTAGTTATAATTTGCTATTGTTTTGTCCTAGTTATATTTTGCTATTGTTTTTCCAGTAGTTTATTTGCTAGTTTTGTTGTATTTAGCTATTGTTTTGTCTATTTATATTGCTATTGTTTTTCTAGTTATATTGTATTGTTCTTTTTTGTTTAATATTATCTTAGTTTATAATGTCTGTGTTATTTTGCTATTGTTTCTTATGTTATATTAGAAATATTTGATTGGATGCAAACAATAATCGCCATGTACTATGATTTCAGAGTAGGTATTTACGTGTGTTTCGAAACAACACACAACGACTTGTGACTCGTTCTCGGAAAATATTGATCACACAAAGTCACGGTTACCGTGATGGTACCACGGTTAATCGCGGCCATGACGGTGCACGTAACTCACTTTGGCAGTGATGGTACAGGTGTAACTCTTCTGTTTTTCGTAGTCAAGCTTCGAAGTGAGCTGGAACTGGACTTCGTTGATGGTGCCTGGGCCCCCGTACTCCGCCTCCGAGGTCTCCAAAGGACAGTCTTGCACCTCCAGACTGAATTCATTGTTGGGACTTGTGGCGTCATTATCACTCACCAAGACCTGAAAACAAGTGGAGAATATAAGCTCTATTCTGGGCAACCTGTCGCTCTGTGTAGAGTTCTCAAAAATATAAATCAAATTTCTAAATACTCTCTACATATCCACCCTCGTAATTTCTGTAGGGAGGTAGGGAGGGGGATGGGAGTTTTCTTGTTATTCTTGTAGGTCCCCCCACCCTTCTTCCGTAATTCTATATCTCGTATCGGTGAGTTAAATCAGTAAAATATTTACTTCTTACACCTTCCACTTGTTGCTGCATCTCTACTCGTAGCAAAACATTGTCTTGACGTAGGCATGTTATGTACCTGTCAAACATTTCCCCTTCAATTGGCTTTAAGGCTGCATTGCTGTGGGGTCACATCCAACCTAATCCTTTATTGTAGATGAATGGTTCAGAGAACCGACAAGTTGATAAATTAGACACATGTGCAACACTTGGGTATCTTTAATGAGGAAACGTTTCGCCACACAGTGGCTTCATCAGTCCATACAAAGGAGAATCGTGAAGAACAGGAGTTTGAGGTAATCAATCCCTCAGTCTTGAGTCGATGTAATCAGTCCATCAATCATGAAAAGAATACAGCATATGTGCGAAGAAGTAGCTTATATACTGTAGGCAGGAGAGGTGCAGCAGTCGTAGGTGGTGTCACATTTGCCCAATGTGGAAGTAGGTCGTGCCCAAGGGTTAAAGATACCCAAGTATTGCATATGAGTCTAATTTATCAACTTGTCGACTCTCTGAACCATTCATCTACAATCCTGTTTGTCCATCAGGAAACTACTATTGTCTGTGTCTTTTCGACTCATATTGACTGTTTTCCAGTATTGGATGACCCATTCTTTGCTCTGGAAGCTGGATTTGTTCATACACTACTGCTGTACCATATACACACTACTAACGTACCAAGGTAACACTGTTTTTAATATACACTAATGCTGGAAAAAAATCCACAAATTATACCTAAGGCATCGTTTATTAACGTTTCTCCAACAGAGGGGAAATGTTTCGTATGTAATGTAAATGGGTTAGAGAACCGACCAATTGAAGGAAAAAAACACCTGGCGAAACGTTTCCTCAACTGAAGAAATGTCAATAAAATGCCTCATTATGCTACATTTCTGTCTCCTTTTTCAATAAGTCGGTATTTTCCCCCATTTCTCTATCCCTTACGTCTATGACCCGGAAACTGCCCTTACATGCACTACCACTCTACAGTATACACATGTAAACTCACCGTCAAGTAGTAGAGGCTAAGATCTGCTGGAAAGTCTTCACGAATCTGGACCTCGTAATTAGTTTGGTTTATTTCCGGGTTCTGCGTGTTCTCGTCTACGATGTTGTGTTCCAGTTGAACTTGGCACTTTGCAAGAGTAAAAAATTTTGAGTGGAACTTTCCCTAAAACTACATAATTTTAAAGAATTTAAAAATATAGTGAATTGAAATATAATTTTAAAAGAATTTAAAAAAATAGTGAGGCCTGGTCTCAGACCGGGCCTGGGGGCGTTGACCCCCCGAAACCCTCTCCAGGTATACTCCAGGAGTGTTCGATTCTCCTTCCAAGGAGTGAATCATGATTCTTCCTGACAAAGACTGACTACATCAGTCTTTGTCACTTTACTCAAGAACTGACTAGTCAGTTTTTGAGTAATATGAGAACGGTGATCGATGACAAGTGGACATCCACTTCGGAAGAAAAGTGTAACTAGTGAGGGTGAATTTAAAGAGAGTCTGAAGAGGGTCTTCGCCTGAAGCCGAAATATGTAGCTATATTTTTTGCCTAGACAATTCTTCAAGGAAGAGGAGGTAAAGGTAACTCGTTGGAGAAAGACTGAAATTACCTTCTTAGGTGAAAGGACACGTGTGAAACTAATGTGCAACGTTTCGCTCTCCAGGAGCTTTATCAAGCCGTTATACGGTAGCAGCTTGTCAAAGTTTCTGGAGAGCAAAACGTTGCCACACTGAAATGTCACATTAGTTTCATCTGTGTCCATTTACCTAACATTTTGCAGGTAATTCTTTATTTTTTTTTTTACTGAAGTAACCTTTCCTTTCCTTAAATTCAGCATGATTACTTATTGTACAGACGCAATATGACCCAGAAGGGTTTAGCACTTCATTATTATTATTATTATTATTATTATTATTATTATTATTATTATTATTATTATTATTATTATTATTATTATTATTATTATTATTATTATTATTATTTGTCCAAGTGGTTTCTTAATATATTTTTCTAAAATATATTTTTCTAAATAGGCCGTCCAATTCATTATGACGAGGACATTAGAGCACTCCAGGAAGATTTGAATAGACTGATACAGTGGTCGGAGAAGTGGCAGTTGCAGTTTAATATAGACAGATGCAAAGTTCTAAATGTTGGACAGGAAAATAACCATACCATATATAAACTAAATAATGCAGATCTTAATATTACGGATTGCGAAAAGGATTTAGGAGTTCTGGTTAGCAGTAACCTGAAACCAAGACAACAGTGCATAAGTGTTCGCAATAAAGTTAACAGAATTCTTGGCTTCATATCTAGAAGTATAAATAATAGACGTCCTCAGGTTGTTCTTCAACTCTATATATAACCTTGGTTAGGCCTCATTTAGATTATGCTGCTCAGTTTTGGTCACCGTATTACAAAATGGATATAAATGCTCTGGAAAACGTACAGAGGAGGATGACAAAGATGATCCCATGTATCAGAAATCTTCCCTATGAGGATAGACTGAAGGTCCTGAATCTGCACTCTCTCGAAAGGCGTAGAATTAGGGGGGATATGATCGAGGTGTATAAATGGAAAACAGGAATTAATAAAGGGAATGTAAATAGCGTGCTAAAAATATCTAGCCTAGACAGGACTCGCAGCAATGGTTTTAAGTTGGAAAAATTCAGATTCAGGAAGGATATAGGAAAGCACTGGTTTGGTATTAGAGTTGTGTATGAGTGGAACAAACTCCCGAGTACCGTCATAGAAGCTAAGACGTTGTGTACTTCTAAAAATAGGTTGGATAAATACATGAGTGGGTATGGGTGGGTGTCAGTTGGACTTGACTAGCTTGTGCTACTAGGTCGGATGCCGTGCTTCTCCCTTGAGTGACATGTCTGACCTCATTAGGTCAGTGAGGCTAGACGGTAAGTGAGCTTAAGGTCACTAGGTCAGTGAGCTTAAGCCGGTGGAAGAATTGGAACTGCCTCGCATTGGCCAGTAGGCCTGTTGCAGTGTTCCTTCTTTCTTATGTTCTTAAGTATTTATACAATTTAATAATATATGTATGTAGTATACACAGGTATTGTCAACGTCACTTGTAGTGTACACACTGTCAAGAGTGGTGTGTAGTGTACACACTGTCAGTGATGTGTAGCGTACACACTGTCAGTAATGTGTAGTGTACACACTGTCAGTGATGTGTAGTGTACACACTGTCAGTGATGTGTAGTGTACACACTGTCAGTGATGTGTAGTGTACACACCGTCAGTGATGTGTAGTGTACACACTGTCGAGAGTGATGTGTAGTGTACACACTGTCAGTGATGTGTAGTGTACACACTGTCGAGAGTGATGTGTAGTGTACACACTGTCGAGAGTGATGTGTAGTGTACACACTGTCAGTGATGTGTAGTGTACACACCGTCAGTGATGTGTAGTGTACACACTGTCGAGAGTGATGTGTAGTGTACACACTGTCAGTGATGTGTAGCGTACACACTGTCAGTGATGTGCAGTGTACACACTGTCAGTGATGTGTAGTGTACACACTGTCAGTGATGTGTAGTGTACACACTGTCAGTGATGTGTAGTGTACACACTGTCAGTGATGTGTAGTGTACACACTGTCAGTGATGTGTAGTGTACACACTGTGAGTGGTGTGTAGTGTACACACTGTCAGTGATGTGTAGTGTACACACTGTCAGTGATGTGTAGTGTACACACTGTGAGTGGTGTGTAGTGTACACACTGTCAGTGATGTGTAGTGTACACACTGTCAGTGATGTGTAGTGTACACACTGTGAGTGGTGTGTAGTGTACACACTGTCAGTGATGTGTAGTGTACACACTGTCAGTGATGTGTAGTGTACATTCTGTCAGTGATGTGCAGTGTACACACTGTCAGTGATGTGTAGTGTACACACTGTCAGTGACATGTAGTGTACACACTGTCAGTGACGTGTAGTGTACACACTGTCAGTGATGTGTAGTGTACATTCTGTCAGTGATGTGCAGTGTACACACTGTCAGTGATGTGTAGTGTACACACTGTCAGTGATGTGTAGTGTACATTCTGTCAGTGATGTGTAGTGTACACACTGTCAGTGATGTGTAGTGTACACACTGTCAGTGATATGTAGTGTACACACTGTCAGTGATATGTAGTGTACACACTGTCAGTGATGTGTAGTGTACACACTGTCAGTGATATGTAGTGTACACACTGTCAGTGATATGTAGTGTACACACTGTCAAGTGTGATGTGTAGTGTACAAACATTGTCAGAGGTCATGTGTAGTGCACGTATACATTGTCAGAGGTCATGTGTAGTGCACGTATACATTGTCAGAGGTCATGTGTAGTGCACGTATACATTGTCAGAGGTCATGTGTAGTGCACGTATACATTGTCAGGGGTCATGTGTAGTGCACGTATACATTGTCAGAGGTCATGTGTAGTGCACGTATACATTGTCAGGGGTCATGTGTAGTGCACGTATACATTGTCAGAGGTCATGTGTAGTGCACGTATACATTGTCAGAGGTCATGTGTAGTGCACGTATACATTGTCAGAGGTCATGTGTAGTGCACGTATACATTGTCAGAGGTCATGTGTAGTGCACGTATACATTGTCAGGGGTCATGTGTAGTGCACGTATACATTGTCAGAGGTCATGTGTAGTGCACGTATACATTGTCAGAGGTCATGTGTAGTGCACGTATACATTGTCAGAGGTCATGTGTAGTGCACGTATACATTGTCAGAGGTCATGTGTAGTGCACGTATACATTGTCAGAGGTCATGTGTAGTGCACGTATACATTGTCAGGGGTCATGTGTAGTGCACGTATACATTGTCAGAGGTCATGTGTAGTGCACGTATACATTGTCAGGGGTCATGTGTAGTGCACGTATACATTGTCAGAGGTCATGTGTAGTGCACGTATACATTGTCAGAGGTCATGTGTAGTGCACGTATACATTGTCAGAGGTCATGTGTAGTGCACGTATACATTGTCAGGGGTCATGTGTAGTGCACGTATACATTGTCAGAGGTCATGTGTAGTGCACGTATACATTGTCAGAGGTCATGTGTAGTGCACGTATACATTGTCAGAGGTCATGTGTAGTGCACGTATACATTGTCAGGCGTCATGTGTAGTGCACGTATACATTGTCAGGCGTCATGTGTAGTGCACGTATACATTGTCAGAGGTCATGTGTAGTGCACGTATACATTGTCAGAGGTCATGTGTAGTGCACGTATACATTGTCAGGGGTCATGTGTAGTGCACGTATACATTGTCAGGGGTCATGTGTAGTGCACGTATACATTGTCAGGCGTCATGTGTAGTGCACGTATACATTGTCAGGCGTCATGTGTAGTGCACGTATACATTGTCAGGCGTCATGTGTAGTGCACGTATACATTGTCAGGCGTCATGTGTAGTGCACGTATACATTGTCAGAGGTCATGTGTAGTGCACGTATACATTGTCAGAGGTCATGTGTAGTGCACGTATACATTGTCAGGCGTCATGTGTAGTGCACGTATACATTGTCAGGCGTCATGTGTAGTGCACGTATACATTGTCAGAGGTCATGTGTAGTGCACGTATACATTGTCAGAGGTCATGTGTAGTGCACGTATACATTGTCAGGGGTCATGTGTAGTGCACGTATACATTGTCAGGGGTCATGTGTAGTGCACGTATACATTGTCAGGCGTCATGTGTAGTGCACGTATACATTGTCAGGCGTCATGTGTAGTGCACGTATACATTGTCAGGCGTCATGTGTAGTGCACGTATACATTGTCAGGCGTCATGTGTAGTGCACGTATACATTGTCAGGCGTCATGTGTAGTGCACGTATACATTGTCAGAGGTCATGTGTAGTGCACGTATACATTGTCAGAGGTCATGTGTAGTGCACGTATACATTGTCAGGCGTCATGTGTAGTGCACGTATACATTGTCAGGCGTCATGTGTAGTGCACGTATACATTGTCAGAGGTCATGTGTAGTGCACGTATACATTGTCAGGGGTCATGTGTAGTGCACGTATACATTGTCAGAGGTCATGTGTAGTGCACGTATACATTGTCAGGGGTCATGTGTAGTGCACGTATACATTGTCAGGGGTCATGTGTAGTGCACGTATACATTGTCAAGGGTCATGTGTAGTGCACGTATACATTGTCAGGGGTCATGTGTAGTGCACGTATACATTGTCAGGGGTCATGTGTAGTGCACGTATACATTGTCAGGGGTCATGTGTAGTGCACGTATACATTGTCAGGGGTCATGTGTAGTGCACGTATACATTGTCAGGGGTCATGTGTAGTGCACGTATACATTGTCAAGGGTCATGTGTAGTGCACGTATACATTGTCAGGGGTCATGTGTAGTGCACGTATACATTGTCAGGGGTCATGTGTAGTGCACGTATACATTGTCAGGGGTCATGTGTAGTGCACGTATACATTGTCAGGGGTCATGTGTAGTGCACGTATACATTGTCAGAGGTCATGCGTAGTGCACGTATACATTGTCAAGGGTCATGTGTAGTGCACAAACATTGTCAGGGGTCATGTGTAGTACCCATAAATGGGGTCTCCTGTGGAGATACAGAAACAAGACCCCACTCACATTCGTGACGTTATCCAGCAGAGAAAATTTTACCATGCCCAGAATCTGCTCCTGAAATAGATTTTTAAAAATAATTTGTTGAGTATTAGAAAAAAGCTTATTGAATATTATTGATGCTTACATTTTCCCTGTATCATTTAGATATTTTTCGTGGGACATACACTGAGAACTTTGTATTTCTTAGTATGTATACACCAAGAGTTGTATATTCTTTTGAGTTTTTACACTTCGATACACAAATAACCCGGACATAGGAGACAGAAGCTTTTGACGATGTTTCGGTCAAACTTGGAACATTTACAAGTTATAATGGTCCTAGTCTGAGCGAAACGTCGTCTTAAGCTTCTCTCTCCTATGTACGGGTTATTTGTGTATTGTTCCAGTCACGGTATTGTGACTTTTTGTTATTCATGTAACTTAGAGATTACTTGAAGCCCAGTTTTAGGAATTACAGTATTCCTAACTAGTGTACTGACAGTCTTATTGATCCTGGTGCAGTCAGTGGGTTCTAAATCTAATATACCAACGCACCTGATTTCTAAATCATCGTTTTTGTGATTTCTGGTTTCATCTATTCTCTCTTGGAGTCCTAGAATTGTACAAATATTTTATTTATAGAAAGTTTCTATACGTCATATCATTTGTTTAATTCCTACAACAGAATAAAATAATTCGGAGTCATTCATTCATTAATTACTGTACATAATTACGTATTTGTATCTGCTTATTACTGTCTATACGAACTGGAAACTTGATACCATCAACATAACTTATGTTGATGGTTTCCAGTTTTTAGTATTAAATTATCCAGAAAATAAGCTTCCAGGAATGCAAGGGAAAAAATCGTTTAAGAAATATTTTTAAAATCTGAATTAATATTCCGTTACGGTACTTTAATGGCCAAAGTTTGTTTACATTTCCAGACAAGTGAGAAGGGAGGTGGAACCTTCTGAAGAGTTGAACGCCATTAGGAAAGAATTGAACCCACCTGAAAGGTAATACGGCATTAAGGTAGTTGAATCCCCTGGGAGAGTCTTGTTTCATTAGGACAGAAAGGTGGACCACATGTAAAGTCACATGAGATTGGGACAAAGTTGAACTACTTGGAGAGTCGTACGTCATTATGGCAGAAAGGTGGACCACGTACACATGCTGGGAAAGCAACCCGTACGTGACTGGGGCACAGTTGAACTTCCTAGAGAGTCGTACGTCATTAGGAAAGAGAGGACCACCTAAAACACTCTTCATAAAACAGTAGCGATGTTTCCGGTACTCACTGTGTTGTTGGGAAAGTCGGGAACGCCATTTAAAGATGTTGAGACTGACACTCTCAGTTCTGATGACTGAGAATTATCTACTGAAAAATAGTGTAGGAACTCTTCCTCATCAGGACCAGTGAAAGGCCCCGTGTTGCTGCAGTTCAAGATGTAAAGGTCTGTACCCTCGTCTGTTTTCTCATCTACGTTCGCTTGCAAAATCAAGATTCCAGAAAGGCCACTAAGCTTAGCTCCTCCAGTGACTTCACAGTGATTAGTGCAATCTGAAATGATAAGTATAAGCATTAACATCAGAAAAAACAAAGACCTTGAGCAACAAAGACTATTATTTAGTTCCAATTTGCAGAATTAAAAATAATTTCAATTTTGTTTTACAATAAACAAAAGACATACTGAGGACATAGACATATACTAAGAATACCTGTGGCTACATAGAGATCAAAGAAACTAATTTCCGCAGACGCAAGTGCCTTGAATCAGCACTGATCGCTGTTTCGAATACTATTAAACAAAACAACGGCAGCTTCACCATCTCTGAAGTCTTAGCAAGAATCCTCCTGAAAACAGTAAACCCTGCCATCACATAGTCTCTCCTGTTATACTACACAAGGCACATTACAGAGAGTGAACACTGAAACAGGCCTTCTCTTTCCAGTCTATGTTTGTCCAACCTACTTTTATGTTACCTAAGTAATAGCTTTTATATCCTTTCACTCTTGTACGAATTAATTGCTCTACCATATTGTCTTACTACTGCTACTACAACTTTTGTCACTACTACTACTACTACTACCACCTGTGAACATCGATATGGTACCTCACTAGTATTGCACCTCACTCTGACCCTTTATATATACCCTCTGTGTCCATATACTGTTTGTATCGGCTTGACAAAGCTCCTGGAGAGCGAAACGTTGCCAAAATAAAATGTCACATTAGTTGCACTTGTGTCATTTTACTTTACAGATAAAAAAAAAAGCACTTGAACAAAAGGTAAGAAAGATATACAAATAATATACACCAGAATCTAGATAGACAATCATTATGGAAGAAGAAAAATGAATTGAAAAGACGGCGATAATAGCAAAAGTGAAACCAATGTTACTTTACAATAACATCAAAATTAATATATTCTGAAATCACCTGTTTACTGTGATCTTATTGCATATATATATATATATATATATATATATATATATATATATATATATATATATATATATTATATATATATATATATATATATATATATATATATATATATATATATATATATATATATATATATATATATATATATATATATATATATATATATATATATATATATATATATATATTATATATAACCTTCACAAAGGAGACAGAATCTTAAAACGACGTTTCGGTCCGATTTGGACCACGGCGATCAGACACATATGCAACATCTGAGTGTCTTTACTGTAGACGTTTCGCCCTCCAGTGGCTTTATCAATACAAATTCAGGGACATGTGTCCTTGAATTTGTATTGACAAAGCCACTGGAGAGCGAAACGTCTACAATAAAGATACCAAGATGTTGTACATGTGTCAAACTCTTCATCTTGACCGTATTGTATACCATATATTGTATACCATATATTGTATACCATATATTGTATACCATATATTGTATACCATATATTGTATACCATATATTGTATACCATATATTTTGTATCTCGGTATTGTGCCTTTTTATTTTCCATCGGAATTAAGATGACAGTCTAATTTAAAACTTTTAAACCGAAGTCAGAAACAGTCTTAGGGAATATTACAAAGGTACCGAAGTCAGAAGCAGTCTTAGGGAATAGTACAAAGGTACCGAAGTCAGAAACAGTCTTAGGGAATATTACAAAGGTACCGAAGTCAGAAACAGTCTTAGGGAGTATTACAAAGGTACCAAAGTAAGTCGGAAACAGTCTTAGGGAATATTACAAATGTACATTAGAAGAGATTAACAGAGGGTTTAACTTTATTTTCTCATCCAAACAGGAAAATGAGCAAGAAAGAGAAAGGAGAGAAAGCCAGCAACATTGAACCATGAACCATCGAAACATCGACCAAGCAGAGAGAAACCTCGCTATCTACTCTCTCCGATTACTAAACTCCGCATCGAACTGATGGAGGCGTTGACTGGCGGGACGTCTTCAGTACAAAGGTACGCAATGTTGCACAAGTGTTCATTGTAAGACATTCTGAGCTTTGTAAGAGGTGTCAGAAAGCTGTTCTCATTTTCCCCACACAGTCACTCATCACAGCAGGATCTTGTCTGAGGAATTAACAAGAATTAACAAGAATCATCTCGAGACACAACGAAACTACAGTCGCTGCTTTATTTACGGTGAAAATAAAGGTAGTTTAATAAATAATCATGTGCATTAACATACAATTATTTTATGATGTTAAATTATTAGTTACTTTCAACCCCTTGAACTCATCTTTGATCACTGGCTGTTTCACCTCACACTTTTGTTGTATATAAACCCGTTGTTTTGTCTGGCATGTGCACTCTATCTTGATAATTACTCTCAGTGGCGAAAAAGGAATTTAAATAAGTATCGCTTTTATTTTTATTATTTTTTTTTTTGACATGCTGACCGTCTCCTGCCGAAGCAGAGTGATCCGAAAAAAAAGAAACGTTTAATTTTTTATTTAGTAAATTATACAGGAGAAGGGGTTACTAACCCCCTTTGTCCCGGGATTTTAGTTACCTCTTACAACGTAATAGGGATGGGGATAGGAAGAATAGTGTTTTCCTTAGGATGCGATAGAGGAGATAGCTAGTATAATTTTAAATATTGTGACTGGTAATGGGAGATACCCTGTTATCCACCTGAGCTCTGGAGGAAATTATATTGGAAAGTGTAATAGAGAGAACCTGCTTACGGGTACTGGCCAACAGTAGACATAATTAGGAAGAAGGGAGGGATCCCTGTCACATGTGACATTTTGTCACTGGTTGGTGTTAGCAATGTAGTCTAGAGCAACTGGTGTTAATTACTGGCTGGACAAGTACTATAAGAGCATTGCTAGGGATGGGTTGCATTTACTTTGAGCAGCAGTAGCACCATTGGAAACTTCATATGATTTTGGAATACACCAAGATTTAAAACTATCAAAAAATTGACGTATGAGTGTTCGAGTTGTAATAATATTGATCTCAGAAACAAACGTTTATCAAGAGATTAACGTAAAATTAACAGATAATATCAAGTAAAGAAATATAAAAGAAACCTATTCAGAAAGTGAATAAGGATAATGATAATGAGAGGAATAACGAAGAGACGAAAATAACGATAACAGTAGAAACCCTTTCTAGACTATAACCCAAATAATTTTTCTTATAATCATTGACAAAGATATATTTAATCTACTTGTAGATACAGAGAGTTTCACTTGTAGGAAGCCCCGTGTTATCATTTACTACAGACATGATATTCAAACAAGACGACTGAAACCACGGGAGTACCAACTCGGGGTCTCCTACGAGTGAAACACCCTGGATAGTCAACATATACTGAAATGATCTGCATAATCATGGGCTGTCTGCAAGTGTTTATCAATTAACCCATTCCTGTATTAACAATATATCAAGTGGGAGTAAAATCGAATTTAAAAATTTAATGTTATACAAATAGTCTCAATGCTAAAAACAAGATGAACGAGTTGAGATTGATTGCATGTGCAGGAAATGTAGATGCTGTTGCAATAACTGAGACGTGGTTTAATTTGAAGGGTCGAGACGTGCCTGGCGAGTGTCAGGTTGAAAGGAATGGAAGAAACGTGGCGCTATACGTCAGAGATAAAATGAATTGCTACTTAGAACAGATCTCTGGGTTGAAGAAAATGACAATTTGTCTGGGTAGAATCTATAGAACCTGGAGTTGATTTTGTGATTTATACCGACCCACGAACGTGGAAAAGTGACAGAGGGAGAATACTTTGGGAAGGATTTGTTAAGTCTACAAGGAAACATATTGTTTTAACATTAGGAGAGTTTAATTTCATCTAAATCGGTATTTTATACCATTTTATTGGAATTCTTTGACTGGAAATCTGGAGCACATCAACTTATTCCAGGATTTTCTAGGATTTCTTTTTTTTGGCAATTTATGACACGACCAACAACAGGTAATCTGATTCTAGCAGACAAGGAGACCCTAGTAAATGTTCTAGATGGAACCGAAGAGCTTAGCACAAGTAACTATGAATAGAAGAAAGAAACTATGACGACGTTTCGGTCCTACTTAGACCATTATTTCATGTAAATACAGTAATAAAGATGATGCAGTAACGTTTCCAGATTTTTACTCTGCAGATTACGATGAATTTAGAGAATTTTTGACTTCGTGTAGCTCGAACTTCCTATTTTTCTCACATTGATTATTAACTGCTTCTCAAATTTTCTCAGCTGTCAAGAATACAAAAAGTGGATCCGAGGAGCAGTATATCAGGAGAAACTTGAAATATGTTCCATTACATCATCTCTTCCCAGGATTCTCCACCTGACTCTTCAAGTCTCTATGCTCCCTGTATATATACAGACAGGTCCCGTTTTACAGCGCTTCGCTTTACGGCGTCTCGCTAATACAGCGGTTTTCAATTGCACCAATTCTTCATTTATTCAAGACTTCCTACAATTAATATATTCACCACTCACTATAAGCTAAAAATAAAAATTTAAAGGTAAGTAATGTGTGTACTGTATATGCATTTTTTAGGCCTAGCTCTGTTGCTCACTTAATATATGATAGTGTAAACATGTTATCAGGCTTTTATATGCATTTGAAAGTAAAAAAAGGCTACGATTCACTTTACAGTGATTTTCACTTTACAGCAGTAGCCTGGACCCTAACCTGCTGTATAAGTGGGGCCATACAGCAGCCCTGAACCTAACCTGCTGTATAAGCAGTGCTCTACAGTAACCTGGAGCTTAATGCGCTGTATAAGCGGGGCCCTACAGTAGCCTAGAACCTAACCTGCTGTATAAGCAGGGCCATACAGTAGCCCTGAACCTGACCTGCTGTTATAAGCGGGGCCCTACAGTAGCTCGTAACCTAACCTGCTGTATAAGCGGGGCCATACAGCAGCCCTGAACCTAACCTGCTGTATAAGCAGGGCCCTACAGTAACCTGGAACTTAACACACTGTATAGGCGGGGCCCTACAGTAGCCTGGAACCTAACCTGCTGTATAAGCGGGGCCTTCCTGCTCGGGTTTGTGACTTGATAAAGCTATCACTGTCTGGGCGAAACGTAGTCAATATGGATCGCATTATACTACATTTTTCTCTATTTTTTTCCATCGTGTCAGTATTTGATCCCATTTATCCCCATCTTTTTTTTTTTAATTTCGTCACACGTGTAAAGTTTAGTTAATTTTGAAATATAAAACACACAAGTAACCATTAATTAGTTAATGGTCTAAGTCGGACCGAAACGTCGTTATAAGTTTCTATCCTATGTGCGAGTTATTTGTGTATTATTCCAGTCACGGTATTGTGATTTTTTTCCGAAAATATTTTTTTCTGCTTAGAATTATTTTTAATTGCAATTTGCATATAAGAAGAATATATCAAAGTCGTTTCATTGCTTAGTGCTTCTAAAGGCCATAATCCGACCCTGATTAAATGGCTCAGTGCCTTTCAGGTGCAGGAGTGTTGAGTCGCTACTCTTATATATGAGCACTGTATTGCTAGAGTAACTTAATTAGCCAAAACTTTCGAAATCATGAAGTTTTGGGCAACAGTGTTGGTGGGTGTAATCATTATCCTTTGCAGTACCGTTTATGTACAAATTTGACCATGGGAACGTGCAAAATCAGTCATATAGTCCCCAAGAACTACTGTTTTCGGGATAATGAATTCGAAAATAAAGGTTTTATCCAGGGATTCATCATGGAGATAATAACTGAACCCTCCGCCCCAGCACATACATCAAAGAAGTCCCCAGAAACAAGGTGGAGAACCTTGAACTTGTCAGCAAGAGGGTGCACAATCCCTTGTGCAGGCGGTAACAAGGTTCACTTTGGAGAAACAGAGTAAAACCTAGGAACATGTCTACTTGAACACATCAATACACGCAGATGTATTGATGTGTTCAATGCATGTACACACAACACCACAGCACCACTAGCCACTTGGTGAGAGGGACCATCACCATTTAGAGATTAAAGAACAGGACATCCACAGACGAAAATGCCTTGAAGCATCTCTAATCTTCACGTCAAACACAATTACACACAACAAAGACAGCGTCTTCCTTCAGTATTGCCACGAGAAACCACAACATTTCCTGGCAAGATATCACTAATAATCGAAGCAAAAGCCAGGCAGCTTGCAAACAGCAAACCTTCAACACATCTCGGTATACATTTTGAGATGACAGCCACATAACGCACGTCACCTCCATCTCATTTTCGTGCTGCTTTCTCTGGTATATAAACCCTGCATTTCATGTGCTCTTCGTGTGTGAACCATTGTGCCTAAAACACGTAAAAGGGTTCAACATTTAGTACTGGTTATATCTGACCTGTAGGTGTGTCTGATAAGCTCACATATTCTTATCTATATCATTTATTCATAGTGTTTCTGCCTTAACCTCTCCCCGAGCACTGGACTGCAATTCTTATTGCGTTACAGCATAATTAGAAAATCAGTGGGTCTAAAACCATAGCAATTACAACAGCTTTATAGAGGGACACTGCGTATTTTGGTACATAAAACCCAATGAACAGGGATGGTTTTGACAAGGACCTGACCTCTCAATGTTTTCATTATATACTTTTATACACTTTTTATATACTGTTGCTTCAACTTCACACTGTTCCAGACTGTGGAGCAAAATTCTTCTCCAGACTGAGGGACTGACCACCTCAAAACTACGTCTTCTAGGATGATGGACTGATGACATGGTCTTCACATCTCTACTGCTTCTAGCTTCTCTGTACTCAACTGAAAAAGCCTGCTGCTTAGGGGAAACGTCTCGGAATAAAGATACCTAACTGTTGTACATGTGTCTTAGAGCTGTAACCTCTAGGAGAAACCTAGTCTCCACTCTTATACATAATTAAAAAACGTATGTATATCACTATACAATCCACACATCATCAGGAGTTTGGACTGCTGTAGAAAAGAGTAGGAAGTCCAGGTGGATTCGTTTAGGGAAACGACTCTAGCTAGGATGAGGTAGATGGCACCAGGAAAAGCAGTGCCAAGTACCAGAAAGCTGAAGACAGATTATTAAAACAGTAGAAACAAACCAGGTCACAAGCACTGATAATGTCGTAATGACCTAACAAGTATAACATTAGTGACATGACAGTTATCAAAAATTGGGTCAGACTTCGATGCGCCTTTGTATTTTAGAATGCAATACGAAAGGCCTAGAGCTATCATTCAACTCCCTCTGTGGTTATTTTGCATCTTTTATCGGTTGTTCGCGATTATTGCATATTATCATAAGATAAAGCAGGACTACGGTGACGTTAAGCAGTATTATATGATAATTCTGGATGTAAATTATTTAAAAAAACAAAACCGACATGTTGAATAGACATATGCAGCATTGTGGAAATGTTGCATAAGTGTCTAATTCTACGAGTATTCTTATTATTTAAGCCTTAGGTCTAAGTTATTATTGACATACTGATAGCCTATTTGAGATGTAGTTTATCTTGGGAACTGGCTCAGCTGCAGCCTGTTTTTTAATAGGCTTGGGTCTTACTCTGACACAGTGCTGGTGCAGGGAGCAGGAAGAGAAGAATCAAGATGGCCGCTGTTGTCTTTGTGTGAGCGAAGGTTTGTTCTCGTCTTCGTGTAAATGCCATGGCTGGTGACGTCTGTGCTGAATCCTGAAGCTTCTTTGGCGTAGCTGTGACTGGCACTGCTGTGAATGGCACTGCTGTGACTGGCACTGCCCACCTCTCTTTGGTAATCATCACTGAATTCTCACCTTTTACTGATCTTAGATCCAGATTTGTTTTATCAAAAGCTTTCTCCCTGAGAACTGTGCTCAGGAAAGCAGCCTATGGTCTATCTCTCCACCTTTATACATACGATTCCCGTACACACTGTTAATGTTTCTACCACCACAAGAAGAACTTATTGTCACCGAGGGTCTCCAGTACGCCCTCGACTCTCCAGAGCCCAGTTGTGACTCCCACTCCCTCCTGATAAGAACCTTCAGCAACGAAGTTATTTGTGATAACGCGCCTTAGATAAGAATGATAATGACAGCCTCACTGATAATCACAAAAATTTGTTTACTGTCTGTATGTAAGTGTTGTAACTCCATTGCACTGGCATATCCGCACACACACACACACACACACACACACACACACTCAGGGAGAAAGAGCTTGGGGTGACCATAACACCGAGCACATCACCGGAGGCACACATCAACCAAATAACCGCTGCAGCATACGGGCGCCTGGCAAACCTGAGAACAGCGTTCCGATACCTTAATAAGGAATCGTTCTAGACACTGTACACTGTGTATGTTAGGCCCATACTGGAGTATGCAGCACCAGTCTGGAACCCACACCTAGTCAAGCACGTCAAGAAGTTAGAGAAAATACAAAGGTTTGCAACAAGGCTAGTCCCAGAGCTCAAGGGAATGTCGTACGAGGAAAGGTTAAGGGAAATCGGACTGACGACACTGGAGGACAGAAGGGTCAGGGGAGACATGATAACGACATACAAGATACTGCGGGGAATAGACAAGGTGGACAGAGATAGGATGTTCCAGAGAGGGGACACAGGGACAAGGGGTCACAACTGGAAGATGAAGAAGACTCAGACGAGTCACAGGGACGTTAGGAAGTATTTCTTCAGTCATAGAGTTGTCAGCAAGTGGAATAGCCTAGCAAGTGAAGTAGTGGAGGCAGGAACCATACATAGTTTTAAGAAGAGGTATGATAAAGCTCAGGAAGCAGAGAGAGAGAGAGGACCCAGTAGCGATCAGTCAAGAGGCGGGGCCAGGAGCTGAGTCTCGACCCCTGCAACCACAATTAGGTGAGTACAATTAGGTGAGTACACACACACACACACACACACACACACACACACACAATTAGTCTATTTGCTGTTTCATATTATGCACATATTACAAAATGTGGACAGAAAAATAACAGTTCACTAGGTCTATAGGCCTATGTTAAGTAATCTTTTTTTTAAGTTCAATTATTTGTATTCGTAAGTCTAAGTTATATATGTCAAGTAAGACTAGCTAACAAGGGTTACTGAAGCTATCTTTAACAGCTTTCAGAATGAGTGCCAAATGTTGGATTCATTGCCTGCCAATCATGTGCCAGTAGGCCTACTGTGTTGCTCTTATGTTTGATACTAAAACTGTGTTTGGACGTGCTTTAAAAAGACGTTTTGTCTACCATGGGCTTTTTAATCCAGTGATTGGATTAATAAAACCTTTGGTGGGCGAAACGTCTCCTTATTAAATGTTCTAAATCCTCTTTTGTATTTTACTGATATTATCAATGGGACTGATTACCTAATCTTCACCCTCCTCAGTCTTCTGTTTTTTTCCTTGTATATTTAATATCATTTACAACCTCTCTTCCTATGTATTTCGCTTTTATTCCTATCATATACAGTGGACCCTCGAATTTAGTCGTGCCTTTTCTGTATGCAAAACTATTTTTATTACCTATAAAATGTATTTTTTGTTAATATTTTTGGGTGTCTGGAATGGTTTAATTGGATTTACATTATTTCCTATGGGAAATATTAACAAAAAATACATTTTATAGATAATAAAAATAGTTTTGCATACAGAAAAGGCAGGACTAAATTCGAGGGTCCACTGTAATTGTTATCAACTACAACTTCACTGATATTCCATTTTACAATGAAACCTGAATCAATTATTAATATTATGAATATTCAAGGAGCCAAGATAAAACCCTGTATGACACCACTCATACCTAATTATCATTAACATCTATTCCCTTGTATTTTTTTGTTGTCTCTCTGTTAATAATGTTAAAATTGTTAACACTGACTTAACTTTCGTTAAACATGTTTCTTGTGTTTGTTGCTAAAACGATTAACAATTTCTTTTGTGTGCCTAGACGAGATCCGGATGAGCCTGGCCCATGGCCGGGCTCCATCAATAGAAAGATTCTCGAAATTCGTCAGAGGTATATCAGAGAGGTTTTTCTTCAGCTACAAGGAAAGTTAAACCGTGGTCGAAGGAAAAGACAGCACCGTGAAGGAATTAATCTCCAGAACTATTTACATGGTAGGAAGTGTGAGGTTAGGTTAGGCTAAGTTAGGTTGGGTTAGGGTAGGTTTTGACCTGTCTTCAATGTGATTCTGCTCTCTGCCTTAAAGTTAGCGTGTTGGTCAGTGTTCTCCTGGTCTCTGTCTTTAGATGTGTGTTCTCCTGGTTTCTATTTTCAGATGTGTGTTCTCCTGGTCTCTGTTTTCAGATTTGTGTTCTCCTGGTCTCTGTCTTCAAATAAGTGTTTTCCTGGTCTATGTCTTCAGATAAGTGTTCCCCCAGCCTCTGTCTTCAGATTTGTGCTCTCTTGGTCTCTGTCTTCAAATTTGTGTTCTCCTGGTCTCTGTTTTCAGATTTGTGTCCTCCTGGTCTCTGGCTTCAGAGTTGTGTTCTCCTGGACTCTAGCTTCAGATTTGTGTTCTCCTGGTCTCTGTTTTCAGATTTGTGTCCTCCTGGTCTCTGGCTTCAGAGTTGTGTTCTCCTGGACTCTGGCTTCAGATTTGTGTTCTCCTGGTCTCTGGCTTCAGTTTTGTGTCCTCCTGGTCTCTGGCTTCAGAGTTGTGTTCTCCTGGACTCTGGCTTCAGATTTGTGTTCTGGTCTCAGGCTTCAGATGAGTGTTCTCCTGGCCTCTGTCTTCAGATTTGTGTTCTGGTCTGTCTTCAGATCAGTGTTCCTGATATGTCTCTAGTTCAGTGTTCCTAACCTCTTTGTTCAGATCAGTGTGCTCCTTGCTTCTGTCTTCACGTCAGGTTGCCTGACCTGTTTCTTCAGGTCAGAGTGCTTCTGACCTCTGTCTTCAGTTGAAGACAGAGCTGGGAAAAATCTAGGAATAAGATACAATTCTGAAAGAAGACAAAATTACTTATGACCATTTCCATAAGTACAGAGAAAATGATAAAGAAAATTACGATAATAAATGAAAAATTATAGGTAAAAATAAGAAGATACAAACGGAAGATAAAGGTTAAATAAGAAGCTCTGGAAAACGTAAGATACTTTTCTTTCCTGCTGGAAAAAAAAAATACAATTCGGACAGTGACAAGGACTCAGGCAGGACAAAAAAGTAATGCAACTACAGACGATATAAAAAACATTCTTGCTCTGCTGAAAATGGTATAAAATACCGAAAAATTAATGATCAAGACACATGTGCAACAGTTGGGTATCTTTATTCTTGAAACGTTTCGCCTACACAGTAGGCTTCTTCAGTCAAATACAGAGGCAGCAGGTGTAGTAGTGAAAGGAAGGTGATGTAATCAGTCCATCAATCTTGGAGAAATGGTATTTGAGGTGGTCAGTCCCTCAACCTGGAGAAGAGTTCAGCTTCATGGTCTGGAACAAGGTGGTCAGTCCCTCAACCTGGAGAAGGGTTCAGCTTCATGGTCTGGAACAAGGTGGTCAGTCCCTCAGCCTGGAGAAGAGTCCAGCTTCATGGTCTGGAACAAGGGGGTCAGTCCCTCAGCTTGGAGAAGAGTTCAGCTTCATGGTCCCGGAAAAAAGGTGGGCAGTCCCTCAGCCTGGAGAAGAGTCAGCTTCATGGTCTGGAACAAGTGGTCAGTCCTCACGCCTGGAGAAGAGTTTCAGCTTCATGGTCTGGAACAAGGTGGTCAGTCCCTCAGCCTGGAGAGAGTTTTAGCTTCATGGTCTGGAAAAGGTGGTCAGTCCCCCAGCCTGGAGAAAAGTTCAGCTTCATGGTCTGGGAAAAAGGTGGTCAGTCCCTCAGCCTGGAGAAGAGTTCAGCACCATGGTCTGGAACAAGGGGGTCAGTCCCTCAACCTGGAGAAGAGTTCAGCTTCATGGTCTGGAACAAGGTGGTCAGTCCCTCAAACCTGGAGAAGAGTTCAGCTTCATGGTCTGGAACAAGGGTGGTCAGCCCTCAGCCTGGAAAAGATTCAGTTTCATGGTTGGAAAAAGGTGGTCAGTCCCTCACCTGGAGAAGGTTCGCACCATGGTCTGGAACAAGGTGGTCAGTCCCTAAACCCTGGAGAAGAGTTCGCTTCATGGTTTGGAAAAAGGTGGTCAGTCCCCAGCCGGAGAAGAGTTCAGCTTCATGGTCGGGAAACAAGGTGGTCAGCCCCCTCAGCCGGAAAAAAAAGTTCAGCATCGGGTCTGGAACATAAAACAGAAGCCTGAGAATGGAGTCTTGCTTATGAAGATAAAAAATTAATATACTGACGGCGCTTTTTCTCAAAAAATGAAAATTTGGGAAAAGAACAGAAAAAGCCTTTTACTGCAGAGATATTAAGAATATAGGTATGTTTTTTTTCATCAAGTTAAAATCACCTACATTTGGCTATATTATATGATGACCGTTCTGTGGGTCTTCAATGTATCCAAAAGATTTTATTTGGAAAATGCTTTAACAGCTGTATCAATAAAATTTTCAAGATCCTCCCCGAAATATTTTTTTTTTTAATGAGGTACAGCCCTCACTGCCTCTACTGTGTGAGTCACTGGGGATGGATATCTATTTTAAAAGTAAAGTACTTAAGCGTTGTAGGTAATTTTCCCCTTTGGGGTACTGGGAGAGGTTTGGGGTTTTTTATTTTTGATGACAGTTTGGGAGGAAGAGGGGGAATTCTAGGGGGCTGAGCCGGCAGATGGTTCAGAGCTGGTGAATCATGGTTGTAGTCACCCCAAATTTGGTTGCATGGGACGTTCGCATTCCTGCCCCACCTCTTGCTCTCGCTACTAGGTCCCGTCTCTCCCGTTCCATGAGCTTCATTGTACCTCTTCTTGTATTGTGTGATAGTTTTCTTCTGCAGGATTCTCAACTAGCTTGTTTGCGGTGGGGTAGCCAAGATGCAGAAGAAGAATTTGTGTGCTGGAAACAACTGAGATGCCGACGGAATCAAACGAAAGTCACACAAAAGAATTTGTGTGCTGGAAACAACCGAGATGCCGACGGAATCAAACGAAAGTCACACAT